ACAGACCCTACACCTGGATGGCGCATTCTACATGCAGTCGCACGTAGGTGTTAATTATTTGTGAGGAGGTTAAGCGGTCAAACCGACCGAACGGTGGCAGGCCATGGCAAATTTAAAGATGGTATCATTTTCTCTTGTACGCACAGGTTGGGTCTTGTTAATCGCATACATACAGTCTCTGCAGTAGCAAGCAGACTCGTTATTCGTCCATAGCTGTGCGCTACTGGTAGTTTAAAGAATCTTAAAAAAGTTTTGTTTGTTAACTTGATGAACTGTGTTGGCTTGTGCATTCGTTACTGCGTTCCAATTGGTCCCAATGTTGTGGTTGTTGAACCACCTTGGAAGATGTACCTTAATTCTCTTACTCCGATGCTTAGTCATAAGTCCTTTGGTTTAACCCTTGGAATAGGTACACTGGTAAATTGCCACTGATTGTGTCCAAGAAATGCATTTGCTTTGCTATTTTCGTTTCCGAATGTAAATGTGGCATTGTGGTGGGGCTTGCTGGGACCATCCATTATGTTCTTCAAACTGATTGTCCGATCTATCATGCAAAAGATATTGTCCACAGATTGCCGGTAAAATTTCAAGCCAGAGATGATCGGTCTTGGTGGGCCATCTTCCAACATTTCCACATAGATATTTGTCAACAGTGGACAAGTGTTGGTGCCATTGCTAAACAGTCTACTTGTCTGTACAGTTCAGCGTTGCGTTGACTGTACATCAAAAGTAAATCAGCGCAACAGTTGTTGCTTTGCTGGTATGCCAATGTTTACTCTTCGTTGGTCAACGTAAGCGCAAAGAACGTTCACCGTTTTTGTCAGATTTACTTTAGTATACAAGGAAATTAAATCTAGGGAAAACATTATGTACTCCCGAATATTCAAGTCGAATTTCCTCGACAAACTGAAATGCTTGAAGGATGTTTGTGAGTAGCGTAAGGTTCGTAGAAAGTAAACGTCACGATTAAACTCCATACAATAATCTGCCTCGACGGGGAATCGAACCCTGGTCCCACGAATTTCCGGTCCGCTGCTCTACCACTGAGCTACCGAGGGCTGACGGTGCGACGCAGTCATTTGTCTGATGGTATCCAGTATTTTTGTCAGACATCGTGCGATGTGGTATGGTGAATTTCTCAAATCTAGTATGGGTTTCAGTGACGTGTCTGATTTATATCTTTCTAGAAGGCCATAAAAGCGGGCATGGCGGAACCCTTAGACTCCCGTGACTTGTATGACTAGTTACAAAACCTACAACACAGTTGTTCAGTTGAATTGTTGTGTCCACTGTTTTGTTACCCAGTTTATTTGCATTGCACAAATAGTGCGATATCATAAAGGATCATTTTCACTTTTTTACGCACTCCTTTCGACTAATGAGTACGGTTTCCTGTCCTTGTTCTGACTGTTGTTGCAATAAGGCCTTACACCTGTTGAATTTCCATAACGATGTCAATGTACCCTTTTGCTAGCAAACTGTAGTGGACTAATCGTGCCTTATGCTGAGGTAGGTGTTGCATACATAATGCCTCTTCACTGCAGTTTGGATATACCTGCTTATACTTCTGCTAGATCTTGTTAACCTGGATAAAAAGTATTCCACATTATTTGGTTTACTCCTTTATGTTATGCTGCTACATATCCCCCATCCTCTTTGCGTGTTTATCATCCTTCAAATGCTATGTCAGTTGCTTGATATCCGCAGTGTGGCTGCGCTTAATCTGGAGGTTGATAAGATGCCTACCTGTCCAATACCCTCCAGCTCGATTACTGACTCCAGGACACTGTGAGTCGTTTCTGGAGTGAGACGGGGTGCACAGTCTTCTTGACCGTGCTAGGCTTAAAAAGCGGTTCCATCCAGTGTGAAGCATGTGGCGGTCCAGCCACCGCCTTGTCTACGTCTGGTACGCATGATTTCCTACATAGATAGAATGGAATGCTGCGGCTGTGCATGTTGAAGAAGTGTGGGCTGCCTCTGCTGATGAAATGTGGCTCTCGTCCACATGCCACCCGGTCTTAATCCTTCGGGTTCACACTGGATATGGGTGTGTGAATGGAGCCGTGGGTGGTGAATCGTAAGCCACCTATTTTCCCTCTGTGGGCGCCGGCGTCCTGTGGCTGTTCCCATAGAGGCCGCAGTAACGGGCAAATCCGGAATCGGATGCCGCCAATCATGTAGTGAGCTATGGGATACCTTCGATACGGTAAGAATCTCCGACTAAATTCGATTCGAACTGCTCGAGGTTCGCTTCGGAGTTGTTAGTGAGGTGTCCGACCCGCGTTCCAAATTCTAGACAGTTGTCATTTCCTCTTGAGTGACGGAATTTTAGACCTAATGCAAATGCTAGCGTCTGAAGCCTATTTAATTGAACGCTGGATAAGTTGCGCATGTTTATCGTGCCGGATTATTCGGGAAGTTAGTTTAACATTTTGTCTCACCCAGTGTTTTCTGCAACACTTGACTTTTCTTACCTAAACGTTTGGAGGTAACACTACCCACATATTCAAGCACACGCGAATCGCCACGTCTCAGTTGTGTACGGCATCAAAGTGAATTGCTGACTTGTGTTTCCAGATCGTCGACAATATCTATATGTAGATCAGAGTGGGAATACAAAATTACAACGTCTCTTCTGCTGGATCGCTGGTTTCAGAGGAGAACCTTACCTGGCAGAGCTATCTCAACAACGGTGACCTCAGTACTCAGCCATGTTTCGGTTGCCATGACTATGTCGCAACACTTTGAAACTTTACAAGCACGAAGCTCGCTTAGTTTATTGAGAAGACCTTGCGTGTTGGTACGCATGCAGGTGAGGGTCTCAGAGGTTAGAAGCGTGTTTATGGATGCAGGTTTTATGTGAGAGTTAATGTCGACCATTGTAGGGTCGGAAGCCAGTCATCTTTTTTGAATTACTTACACAGGTTCCCGGGCCGTCCAGGGATAGTGTGTTTAGTGGAGTCGATTAATGTTTAGTAAGCAAGACTTTCTTCAAATGTCAGAATGTTTTGAAAGCTTCCCGGTTTTGAGCTTCATACTGACATTACCACACATGAAGCCCACTTGTTCCGAATTATCTTGTCTGCTTTTGCTTGGGTGTCCTTTGTCTTAATACGGATGGCATGTTTTAGGCAACATGCGAACAATTTCGAGCACCTTTTCTGCCATAGGTTTGGATTGCAGTGTTACTTTTAAGACTCACGGACCACACCGTTTGTAGTTGGGTGACAATGGTAATCCTGTGGTCAAATTAGCGGTAACCTTTTCGAGAGAGTGCACATCACCTATGAAGCACCATTTATCCTGGTTATGTACTTGAGCGTATAGCTACTTTGATGTCTGAAGCTCGGGAACACTGTGGACAAGTATAGAGTTTACATGCATTTGTTTACGGAAGTCATCCGGAGTTTGTGTGCGCTTCTGGAGGTTACCCAAGGGAACATTTGAAAAACTGCGGACACTACGCGGGATAGTTCAAAAATGAGTGGCTGACAGCTGAATGGTCTCTGCGTCATTCCCTGTCTGAAGAGTTACTCGGAGTGGCCTTGTTTCACTGTAGTGTACTAAGGTACGTCGTTTTAGCTTAGATTCAGGATAGTTGATGCATGGAGTCCCACTGATTGCGGTCGTCACTGATCGAGCTTACCTCGCATTTATGCACATTAGATTGCGATGTTGTCTGGTGCTATCCTTTTTGGAGAAGTGTGTGGCTGCTGACTATAATTGGATGACAGACGGCAGCCTAGGTCCGGCGATAGTATTGGAGCACCAGCTATTCATAGCCTGATAGCGGTCGACGCTACTGTGGCCAGTACCTATGACATGTGGATGGGAACAACGGACACGTGTGTTGTTGGTTCTGTAGCAGTATTAAATTCATCGTGCGGCTTTGTTGAAACAGTTAATTCAAATGCATCACTAACAGCCTTCTCAAGTTTGAGTCAGCAGAGTAGAGCTACCCAAGCCTGGACCATAGTTGTTGCGTCCGACTTGGTTGCCATGTCCTTAATTCGAGTTTGATGTTGGACATGGAGTTCAAGGCAATATTTCGTCTTGGTTCAGAGTAAGACAACTACAACGGCCGTTATTCACTCTAAAATCTGTCTATCTGTCGCAATGCTGCAACAGCACGACCATCCATCTGATGAGTAGAATAGCCGTACACCCTTTGCAAAACAAACTGAACCGACCAGTTTATTGTTTTTCTTTTCTGGCTTATGCTCAGGCGAGCGCAAATAGGATGGAAAATCTAGAACAGTTAGTGCATGTTATTTCAGTTCGTTTACACTTTACACAGATTTAGCGCCCCAGCTAAGGTTCATTTGCGATGCTATATGCTTAGTTTTCCATGGACAAGCAGCGAGTGCCATAACCACTGCCCTTTTACGCTGTCGCGAACATCGTTCGTCGCAAGTTGTGTCTGAGTAGGCAAATCTGAAACATTGTCGGTTGAATTGGTGTTGTGGCTCACACAGGTTAGATGAACGTCATAGCGCCGACGAATCACCTGCATGATGGGAATAACATTATCGGTATTGATGGCTGTAGCAACCCACAATAATTGTAGGGTTGGCTGCCGTCGCCCTTCATCTGCAGAGTGGATGTCGTTCAACGGGCATCTCCCTATATATTAACCACCCTAGCTGCTGCTCAGATTCACAGTGAGATTTGCTATTCTGATATGATGGCGTAACCACTTGTGTTTTCTAGTGGTTACAATTGCAAGGCCAGTTCGAACGATGTGCGTTTTGCATCACATCGATCAGGCAGTTACAACACACACACACATACACACACATTACCAACCATCTAACCTAAGCACTAACAGGATGCCGGTGGCCAGGAGCTTTGACTATTATCACTCACCAGTCCATTTAGTAAATTCTGGTCCGCAAGTGTAACAATACAGATTTAATTTACCAGAAAAATTACAATATCGATGTATTTTACGCTATTTTTACCTCACCTTTTCACTTATATCCCCTGGATACTACCCAAAGGCGCATCAGTTCTATCCGTTGGTTCAAATCAACTGTGCAGAAGATCTACGTTTCTTCTTGTGCTCCATCTACATACCAATTTGTGTCGACGGGTATGCGGAACTTCTGCCGCCCTGTCGCTCCGTTTGTGAACGTGTAAGAGCCGGCTGCTCCCCAGTGATGCAACACTTCAATTTTCCTTGGCCAAAACGCATGGGTTGTTCCCAGTTCCCTGAATACAACAACGCACATGGGGCCCTCTGCATGGAGCGAAACCTGAATGGAAGTGGAGCAACTAATCAATTTGGGAAAGTTGCTTTTGACCCACAGCGAACTCATTCGACACAATTGGTTGATGTCGAAACGGAACGGACTCATGTAAGCAGGCGAGCAGAATTTTCGGTTGACAGCGACGAGCCACACAACGAATATGCGAGCAATCTGCTAATGAGTGCTGCACGCGAAAACTGGACGTTTCGGCGGATCCTGGAGGGAGATCCTAATCTACAATTAAGATGCAAATGTGGATGTCACTCGCCAATGATTAAAACGACACAAAAAGAAAACAACAACAATAACAAGGTAACTCACCACTATCGTCGTAAAACAAGTATTTTGAACAAATTGTCCTGTTCCCAGGTAAAACGATGAAGCTGGGCGCAATAAGTACCCTTAGCAATGTATTCCAGCCCATGGGGTTGAAAACAGCATGGGCGTTTGCATCGCTTTTGAAGCAAACGATAGCAATAAAGCTATGCAAGTAATAGTATAGCTGCTACGTACTAACATACTCCATTGCACAGTCAACCAAAGCAATATTTCGTGAGGAAGCTTTAGTACCGCCTGATTACCTCTTTAAAAGAGTGGATAATCTGCTGGGTCCCGGGACTGAACACCAAGGCTGATTATTCCTCTGATAATTATCGGATTAGGTAGAAATTCGTCACATCTAGGCTCAATCAGACAGCCGCCACACGCCCGTGAAAGCACTGTACGCGCGTTTCATCCTTCCAGGAATCATCAGCAGTGCGCATTCCATCGGACCCCTGGTAGAGTTCGAACCCGCAACCCGACTGTTGCCAGTCCGTGGTTGAGACCACTGAGCTACGGGGGACGACAACGACCATCGTAAATAAGTTACTAGATGTGATATAGCGCCGCTCACTATCCACTGACTTACACGTTACTGCCGTGCAGAGGACAGGGTAGTCCCCTCACCAAGCGACGAGCTTAACAAACTTAAGCCGCCAATTATCTTATGGCATTATAAGCAGTTTGGTCTGCGCACTGATTAGAGAAGAGCAGTAGGCAGAGTTGAATGTTATAGGTAGAAATTCGTCATATCTAGACTCACTCTGATGGTTCACTGATGATTCCCGAAAGGATGAAACGCGCGTACAGTGCTTTCACGGGCGTGCGGCGGCTGTCTGCGTGAGTCTAGATGTGACAAATTTCTACCTATACCATTCAGCTCCCCCTACTGCTCATCTCTAATTGTCGGATTATGGTTAGTGGTGAACATAGAGAACGTTTTCATCAAGACATCTTAACTAGGGAACAAAGCAACCAGGGAAAATGGTCCACTATCGTGATGGTTGACTGCTTGCTGCTGGACACTCGCTATAGATACTCCCGAAAACTGTCCAAGAGACAGGCTAAACAAGCTCATAAGTAACATATGAGTTCACTTTTATTAATATTAGCTAAAAACGATTTTTGTGCATTTGGTGATATGTATAATTACTGCAGATTACAAAAGAACTAGAGCCAACCTTGTATTTTGGCTGCCATGTTTGTCTTCAGCATCTAAACATCGATGAGAGTTGGCTAATTCTATTTCAGTAACATGACTTCGTAAAGCTGTGCTGACCAGTGTAATTGGACTAACTATGTTTCGGAGCATTTTGCTCACTTCAGCGTAACACATGGCCCGCTCCCATATGTCCTATTGAAGATTTCTTGAACCTGAATAGTCTACCCGGGCACATTCGTGCACCGAGTTGCCCAAATAGACAGCAAATTACCATGTCTTCATTTCAACAATTCCCCACACATTAGTGGTTGCAACCTATAGTAATTGTAAGCGCCATAAAGGACTACCCAGATTTCAAGCATGGTCATTCGAAAATTCATATTACACATTTGCGCCCCGAAGCGGAACTGTGTGTTCGATTCGCTTGACAGAATCCCTCAGTCAATGGTTCTCTATGGGTGGGTTGAATGAAAAGTTTTGAGCCTCAAAGAAACCAGACGAGATACTGATTCTTCCACGATTTTATTTTTCAACATAATCCCCCCTCAAGTGCAGCACACTTGTTCAAGCGGTGCTGAAACGTGTTTATCCCATTGGAAAAGAACTCTTCAGATTGCGACTCCAAACACCCTTCTGCAGCATCAATGACGTCACTATGGTAGAGGAAAGGTTTACCAGCTAAAGAATATTTTTAAGTTTTGGAAATAAGTGGAAGTCAGATGGAGCCAGATCTGGTGAATAGGGTGGGTGAGGAAGAAGCTGGAAGCAGCAATCGGGGATTGTTTTCTAAGCAATGGAAGGGGTTTGGGCTGGAGCATTGTCATTGTGCAAAATAAGTCCACTTGTCAGTATCCTTTACCACTTTCCTTAACTTTTTTGCTGAGACGTTTCAGAAGCTCACAGTAATACTTTCCAATGATGGTATGGCTACTTTGAAGAAAATTAATCCGCACCACACTTCTGGAATCCCAATAAGTGGGCGTCACCAAGTTGCCAGCTGACAGTGTGACCTTAGCCTACTTTGGTGCAGGAGACGCTGCACGCTCCCACTGATTTGATTGTTCTTTTCTTTCTGGCTGCAAGTAGTGAAACCAACAATCATTCATAGTGATGAATCGTTCAATAAAAGCATCGGCATCTGCCTCAAACAGAACCAGCTATTTTCGTTGAGGTCAAATGTCGCAAATGCTTCTGCACAGTAGTCAGAAGACGTGGCAGCCATCGTGCAGGGACTTCGAAAAGCTTAACTCCTTCGTCAGAAGATTAGCTGCTCGCTCCTGGAAGACGTCCAACCTCGCTGCTACCTGAAGAGCTGTTTAGCGCCGAGCTTGCATGATCAAATCCAGCACTAGGTCAATAATTTCTTTGGTAGTGCCGTTTTAAAGTCTCCCTGACCTCGACTCATATTCAACGCTTACACTGCCGCGCTTAAATTCTTGCACGCCAAGTGTAACTGTGGCATCTGAAGGGGTATTATCAGGCAAATATATTGAGCATATTTTGGTGGATTTTAGTTAGTGACCTTCATTGAAGATGGAAATATCTGATCAGTACACGATGCTCCAATTTTCCATTTTCACCAACTTGCAGGTTCTGTTTATTTCAAGCAAATGCTGAAATGAAAGTAAAAGTGGTATATTATAAAAAAACGTTATTCTGCTGATCTGGCCATCTGATTTCTGTGTCTGGCTCGAAACTTTTCCTTCAATACATGTAATCGGATACGTACTTGGTTACGGTCACTGAACGTGAAGTTCAGTCACAGGGGCGGTTGTGCATTTAAAAAGAACAATGCGAAAACCTGTCCTAGGAGGACGTTGTTTCCATCCGCGCATGATGCACAACTGAAGTCGCACTAGTACTTTTGCAATGTTAAATAATTCTTCGATGAAGTCTTATGCACCCGTCTTATTTACTCTTCTTTGGAGTCACCGACTTGATCCTGAAATAATCACAAATGTTACATATATATATATATATATATATGTATAACAGGTATTTCAAAAACATAACTATTTTTATGCTGACTCTTATTACATATTCCCTCCCGCACAGACTGAACTGGTTTACTCAGAAGGTTGCGAGATGCCATGCCACTCACCGCACTTTGCAACGCGGGTAGCATTCAGTCCAGTGACAGCATGGTTTGGCGTTTGGGCTAGTCTATGTGCTATGTCAACCATACTTACAGTGGCAACTTACTTATTGGATTCCCATCGTTTCAAATACCCGGAATTATCAATTATCTATCTATCAGCATGCTACCTCATGGTATCTATCGGTTACTTAACTCGTGTGGTCCTCGGACACGAACACGTGGCATGCGGATCGATCCGACATGAAAAGCAGTATTCGTATGCATCCAATGATAACATCGAAGCTGTTGGCTTTAAACCCCAAAAGGTTGCTGCTTATTCAACCGTCTCATCGACGAATTCGTTAACAGAACTCATGGTGGTGCTGCGGGATGCATCGGCAAAACGATTCGGGTGTGCTTTGGTCTTTGTATTGATCTACTTCTTCAGCACTGCCGCTTCCATCTGGTGGGTCGTGTTAACCTTCACATGGCTGCTAGCTTCCGGGATGAAGTGGGGCAGCGAGGCGATTGCCAAATATTCCCCGGTGAGTGTGTATATTTAGTAGCATGTAGCAATTTATAGTCTGCATGGTCATATTCAGCCCAGTCCAAGAAATGTCTATTAGGTCAGACAAATCATTAGAAAAAGTGTAGTAAACGAGAGTACAGAGTTCCCCCGGCTGACTTTCGGTAACGCTACGTGTAGCTGTAGCATAAGTGCCTGTCTCGCATAGCAACCCCGGATGGTACTCCATCGTACTGGCGTTATCAGATAGAAGCTGTACCCCTGAAAAGAGGCACTCCAGTGGAACGAAAGAATTGAATTCGGTGACGTAAACGTGGCGCATTTAATGAGGATATCGCTGGAATGAGCTTCAGAGTCGGGCAAGAAGTGAATCAACTCACAGTGTAACGTTTGTTGATCAAATAGAGAAAGGCACCTGAAAAGCAGTGCAGAATACTCATTTGTTCTTAAGAACAGAAGCCCTGCTGACTAGAGCTAAAAGAATGAAAAGACTAGCAACTATATTTCTGGATGTATGATTGTCGTTCAACTATCTCCAGCTGAGACGTGCGCTATTTGATCCATTCAAATATTTGAGCTACTTTAACAGTAAAATAAATACATAATGTTCTCAAAAATAGATATGTATGCATTTTAAATTGAGCAGGGCACATTTTTGTGAAATGCACTGTAAACGGACACATGGTCGTCAACAGGTGAAATCCGAACATACTAAGTGCCTTGATAACATGGTAGAGCCTAAACCGTAGAATCCAGCTCTATGGGATCATTTAGGATGTTGCAAAGCCAATACAGATTGCTTGAAAGCAATGCAACAGTGAGCAATCACAAGTACCACGATACTACCACTTGCACTACAGAACCTGGCGCTAGACTTTGGAACACCTGGCGGCAAATGCCGTTACTTGGTTTTAATGCATCAGCCTGGTTGATCAGGTAAAAGGAAGAGCGAGTTAACAGTTTCAAACTTTCGCTAATTTATATTGCTAAAAGTATTGCAACGGTGCAGTTTCATTCAAACAGTAGTAATTTCTTTACTTCTTCGTAGCCTACAATTCACAAGACGGGAACGTTCGGCTCCTATCGACTCACTTGCCTCAAGCTTGCCGTCAGGAACTCTGATGAGTAAGGGAATTTCCCAGGAAAATTTTGGGCCGACACGCTAAGTAGGCGATTACAATTTCACGGACCCGAGTTGGGGGTTCCGACAGGTTGGGGTTCAGGAAAACGGCTAAAACAGTATTAACCCGAAACAATTTAAACGCAGCTGGCCGCTCTGCAACTCGATGGAGGCAAGAAGTACATCGCACCAAAAGTGTAGGTGTCAAAAGGCAAATGAGCCAAACTTCAAAAAACGGTATGGAAGACCAAAAGTCCTTGTAAGTGAGCATATGTTTTCAATAACTCATTATCAATATCACATATTTATATGACAAGCAGAATTTAGCGGGCAGATCCAGCGGGTTGTCAATTGGCCATTTGCTTCTAGCACACGATAACAATCACCGTCAGTCAGGTCAACGCTGTAGCCTCCACAAATTCGCATGGGTTCACGATGTTAAGGAGTAGACTCAACTCCTGAGTGAATCCCTTCTGCGCGTACAGCCGTTGTTCATACAGCTGAATCGTGGTGGCTTGTATGGCGTCTAATATCCGCTTACAGAGGTATTTTGTTCGATTTTTTGAGATTTACTACTTAATTTTAGTTGAAATGACTGACTTTGTGGCGTGACCCGTGTCGGCAAGATGCACAATGCTATGAAACTTCGTGTACTGCCTACTCGCAGTGCATCTGTTAAACATTCAGCGTTGTACAGCACAAACATGGAGTTATTGCACGGCTACATAGAAAAAATGAAAAATGTGGTTTTCTTTTACTTCATATGTTTACAAACTCCCCGGTGTTTCTAGACGCGTGAAGTAGAATGAAGATTTTCTCTGCTTAACGGGGGCATAGTGTGAAGCTGCTGCTGGCCGCTTCACTCTACCATGTTCCAACATGCCCAACGTAGCGTGTTCAGCAGGTGCACTGGGAGTAGGGAGTACACAAACTTTCATAGTTTTGTGCCGCTTAGGATTAAGAGCAATGTGGTTCTCAGCCTAGTGAGCAAGACTGGAAGAATATGCTCGAAGAATACTCTTACAAAAGTCATAGTTCATACTTCCGAAACTGACCGAAATCGGCTCCTCGGCGTTTTATTGAAACCAATATGGGCTGAAAGGAGGAGGTGCTTGCAGTTTTGACGGTGGGACGGAAACCCATCTTCTTACAAATGCCTTACAAAAGCCAAATCGCGGTGGAGTTTTTATCCCGCCATCATTTTCACACACTCAGGCGTGCTATTCCGAACGTGAGGATGAAAATCCAGTTCACCAGCAGCCAAATGGTCAGACTAAACCTCAATGAAAAAATTGCCTGTCCAATACTCGTTCACTTGTTATCGTGGAGTAGGATACATTACTCGTGCAACAAGGCGCTTAACTGATAGGGTGAAAAATCACCACCCAGCCTGACTCAAAAATAGAGATCGAAAAGTCATTAACTATGTCGTCGCCGTGCATTTTGTGGACATTGGTCACTTCACCAAATCAGTCAATTCATCTAAATTTATGTAGTAAATCTCAAAAAATCGAACAAAATACCTCTGTAAGCGGATATTAGACGCCGTACAAGCCATCACAATTCAGGTGCACGAAAGAACGCTGTGCGCGCAGTACAGGTTCACTCAGGAGTTGAGTCGACCCCGGAACATCGTGAACCCATGCGAACGTGTGGAAGCTACATCGTTGACCTGACTGACGGTGATTGTTATCGTGTGCTAGAAGCAACTGGCCAATTGACAACCCGCTGGATCTGTCCGCGAATTCTGCTTGTCATATAAATATATGAGACTGATGATGAGTTATTGAAAAAGTAAGTTCGATTACAGAGAGATTTGCTATATCAATACGTTTTCCAAGAGGTTGTTAATAGGTGCCAAGAAGAGGCATTGGAGGAGGTTAAAGATTTTCATGGTACGAAAATGGAATCCCTATCTAAAGAACCTGTAAATGAGGGCATGTTGAGAGATAAATGCAAGGAAACGCATGTGTTTGGTGGAATTGCACCTCTGCGGTGCTCTTTATGCTAGGAAGCCCAGTTAAAGTGGTAGATCAAATTGGCATGGTACTTTCCTCTGGACAGCGTATGGGGTGGCGCTACATCTACATCTGATTGTAAAATTACATGCCAGAGTTATTTCAATACTGATAGCGAAGTTGAGGAATTTGTACTATTTAACACCCTGAGATTGTGAATTTGCAGTTCATCCCATAAATGTAACAATTATGTCAGCCCGCAAATTGAGTTCCTTTGAGTTGAACTCATTTGGGTAACGTAGGAGAATCGGGGGACAAGTTACTCTTCCGGAACTATTGGAATCACACCTCCTCTGTGCGGCCGACGGGGGGAGCAACTGGCCAGACATCTGCTTCTGACTTACCGCTACATCTATGTTTCGAGTACAGCTTAAGATACGAAGTTGTCGGTTGTGCTAAAGTGTGTTCAAGTTACGCAGCGCTAAACGTTTCATGTTAAACAGTAGGCTAAGCATCTGATCACCTTGGCGAAGAGAAAATAGTGTAGAGTAGTTAGGTTACACTCACTTCAACTGTCGACACTGTGTTAACGTACCTTCAAGTGAACACATGTTCCAGTTGACAATAATGGTGCTGAAAGCAGTTCCTATTTTCCTTGTTGAAGTAGTAGGGCTTAAAGATCGCTTGATAACAATCGAATTAAGCGTGACCACTGATAAGTTCAGTTTACGGAAAATCGGTTTCAACTGTCTGGTCGACCATTGCTGCCTAAATGGGGCGAGGGTGCTTAACGTTTAATTAATACAAAAGAACAGTTCGCATAGAATTTGTCGCATGCTTTAGCACAGGTTTTGCCCAGTTATCAAACTTACAATCCAACGTGCGCAGTGCGGGGGCCAGTTAGGATTAGTCAAAGCGGAAAGCACGTCCAAATTTGTGTGTACGACCCCTATTAACTTCGGCAAACATACTCGTTTCTACGGACAGTGATAGGCAGATACTTTTGACTCGGAAGAAGGAGCACATTATGTGCTCAGTATTATTCACGAAGTAACTCTTGATCATTCAATCATGGAGCAGTTAAACTAAACATATTCGTATGTGAATTGCTAAAGCTGATGTAGGGACTTCACGTCATTTCGGCCTGCCGTCGTAGACATACTATTATATCATTGTTGGATAGCTGGTTTAGCAACGCTGCTTGCTTGTCACTTAGAAAATAGGCAAACGCCAATCTAGCTCCAATCATTCATCTGTTTGTCTCGCTCCTCCCTTCTCTAGGTGTACCATTTTGTAGCATGGTCCATTCCAACGTTACTAACAACACTGGCATTTCTGTTGGCCGTGGTCGGAGGTGAATCGGTCAGTGGTTTATGTGCGATTAGAGAGAATGCAAGATTACCTCACATCTTATTTGTATACACTCCCAATTTGCTGTTTCTTCTAATGGGCGTTATCTTTTTGATCACCGGATTCGTCGCTCTCTTGCGGATTCGTGGTGCACTCAAAACAGAATGCATGGGAGAGAATAAGACGAACGGATTGGAAAATCTAATGGCTCGTATCGGCAGTTTTGGTATTTTATACATCGTGCCGAGCATTGTTGTACTCATCTGCCTTGGTTATGAAGTTCGGAACAAGCGAGCATGGGAATTGGGGTTGGCTTGTCGTTGTGGGTTTACTTCGAAACTCAGCTGGATGGCAGATGGAATAAAGTCCAAACCGCTGAAATGGATTCCACCAAAGCCAGACTTTAGAGTGCTCATGTTGAAACATTTTATGGTACTCTTCACTGGGATCATATCAGGTGTCTGGGTGTGGTCTCAAAAAACGCTATCAAGGTGGAAACGATTTTGCAAGAGATGCTGTTTCTTTAACTTTAACAGAAGACGTGGAGCACACATCCTACTACGGGGCCGTGAGGGTGAACAGGAAGGATCGAGTAAAACTCACCTGGTGCCTGGAAGTAGCCATTCATCAAGTTTACGAACAGTACCACAACGGCATGGGCTTGGACGGCTCCTAGTTGGTGAAAGCCTGGTATCTGACAGAAACATTTATGCGCCCGACGCAGGCGTACAAAAGGGTAGTAATTCCGAACAAACTACTGCGACAATTTTGTCGGCTATGAGGATGTCTGATGTTGGGTTTCAGAATGTGACCAGCAAAAGGACAAATTCGGTGGAGCACGGAGCCGGATGTTCGTCTATGACGCACGGATACAATTTCGAAGTAAATGCAGACCTTCCAGGAAATTCTGGAGTGTCTGCTGAATACGATGAGTATTCTCCCGGAGTAGCGAGATGTTTAGCAAGCACCGTCAGTAGTGAGCCCATCTCAAGTGGATTTCAGGAAAGCACAAGCACGAATTTATCGAGTGTATTCAGCAGCGAGATTGGTACTGGTAACGAGACAACTTTTGGAGCTGACGCACTGCTCCACTGCTTCGATACCCAGTTATCATCGCTGCCAATGGTGGGATGCGAAGGGGCTAATTTCATCCCAAACGGGAAGTGGCGGCAGTCCAGTACGGAAAAACAGGCTTGGAACAGACTAGCATCTAAAGCTGTACCAGGTGTACATGATATACAGCAAATACACGGTGAAAACGCAGTTACGTTACCGGGAAATCTGGCATCTAGGTGAGAATAATACGGTATTATTTTGATTATTTGATTTTATCTTGACGAAGCCCAATATACCTATCAATGAAAAAATAACATTGTACACACTGAGTGGCGTCGAACTGGCACACTGTATTGCAAAGTTTAAAAAACATGCAAAACTACCTTGTATTCTAATCAGCAGTTTTCATACACTTCCAGATCTACCGAACACCTGCAAACAAAAACACCACAGAACAATAGCCGGGCGCACAACACATCGGATCAACAGTTTTACTGCGTACCAGTGGGCTTGTCCATGTTTCCCGCTGCAGATGATATACATAGTACCTTATCTCACAACGAGCGTAACGGACACAGACACACGGAAAACACTTATGGAAAGCTCCTGACACATCCCAATGGGTTTGTTTTGTGTACTCATAGATAGTTACTACCTTCCTTTTTCCCTCTATTATACAGTAATCAACTCACTATAAAGAACCGATTGTCACTGAAACAATTAGTGCGGAATCCTTGTGAATGCTTATAAGAAGAGCCCAATATTTACATAACAAATAACACCCACAGCTTCTTGGCCTGTAGAAGTTAGTTCCGGTGAATGACAGTAGATGTCCCCAATTAGGTTCTTCATTGTAATGTTACTTATGCTTTGCGATAATCTGCATTTAATCGACTTTGTTTAGGAGTGTTAACATTCCATAAGCCACTGTCGCTGCCAGTTCCGCAGCAAACTCATGCTTAAGAACCAGGTGCACGCTTACCTTGCATAAAAAGTTATTAAGATAATGAAGATAGTGATGAAACCCGTGGTCTTAAAAATGTTGCTGCATGGCGTCAGTAACCTCGTCTGTCTCGTTAGGAATAGCAAACTGGTGGATAATGATAGTCTAGTAAAACAATCCGGACCACGTGACTTAACCGATCGAACGCTTCCTGCTCCTACGTCAACTGTCCGGCTGCCTATGATTGCGCAGCAGTGACTAGGGCTCCCCCATTGCTGTCGAACGGTGGGGACTAATGCACTAACAGAGAATAGGAACGGAAAATTTCGAATTTGCTGCCTGGACTCGTCTTTCGTAATTTGTGCGATAGAACGACAAAGGAACTGCATGGCATTTGCATGCTCTTGTTAAAGTAAACTAAGTTATACGCAATGTTCCTTATCATCTCTTCATTTAAATAGTTTATATTAGTTTCCTTCCATTAAACAACCTCAAGGGTCTGCGCAGCAAAACAGAGTGGTGGCCAGAATAAATTGCATTATTAAAAGGGGGTTCAATAAGTGACACTACTCGCTGAGACGTAACGGAAGTAAGTTTAAGAGTATCGTTCTAACGCTAATCGATATGAAAACGCTGATACAGTTTGATCAGTCAGAAGGCCGAGAACTTACAAGTTGCTTCTTAATAGTCAGTATAGTGATTGACTCCAGTTAATTCAGAATTCAAACTCCCCAAGCGTCTTAGAGTTCTATTCTGGTCCCTTCTTTTAGGGTCTATTCCAGCATATAGACTTGTCTCATGTCACTACCGATTCTTGCTTTGTTGGTGCGAACAATCACTTCTCGGACATGTCGGTCACCTCCGATTTTTGCTTCTTCGAAAATAACCTTGAGGCCTTGACGTGTGTACGTCTACTAACAGTACTAAGTCAACTGTTTTCCAACTACGAATTTTCTAATACCACTTTTGACGTGTTTGTAAAATAGGTAGGTAACATTTTAACTGCCTCTTCCAAACTTCGTCTGGCAGCTGAACAATGATTTGTAATGGGAAAAAGATCATTGCTTAACAGGTCCCGTAGGACGACCAGAGTGGGGATTATAAATGCTTGTTTAATTCTTTGATTTCTGGCGGTACTTATAATTACCACTCTGTTTAAATTGTACTACAGCTTCAGACAAGTAACATTACTGCCAGTACTCGCGAAGATACGTACAATAGCCTGCTGTCGACAGTTTAGTAAGGGCCAGAACTCCGATACTTTGTTCTACAGTGTGTGGAGTAACCTATTGTGGTTCATGTCGAGCTATAAGTAAATTAATTCAGGAGGCAAGGGGTTAAATTGACAAAAAAGGAAAATTCCGGTTTAAGATGACCCACCGGGTTAGTCACAAGAACACAAATGCTGACCTGCTCACCTTTACAAAAAGGACAAGGCTGTGAACACACTGCGCAAATTCGTCTTTCGGTCGAAACAGTCTATGTCACGCAATGTAAATTGGACAGAATGTAGTCCAAACGTTTAAAAAAAAGCAATAATGTGAGGGTGAAAACAACGTGAGAAGGAAGCGTGTTCCCATTTCTGGACACCCGGAGGAAGAAAAGTTTTGTCGGCAATCAAGTGGACTGTGGAGCGTGGCCAGTTTGAGCTGGTGGCCTCTCCGATTGGTAGTGTGGTTGACTTGCAACAGATCGCGACAGACATGATTGGTATTAAACAGTAGTTGGTACATCATAATAAGGTCTCTCCGTAGGCGCCGGTATTCTCTGCCGTACAAGCCTAGAGCTTGCGATACAGTCTTCTAACGATTTTCGTCGCCCTAGTTTGTGGATCTTCAAGCCCAACGGCATCGTGGTTGCACCAAGGTCGCTAGGCCTGGATCGCGTACTCCACGTGGAGACCTTACTTAAACCTTCAGCATTTTTTGAAATATTGATGACTCGAATTTCCCGAACACCCTTCGTAGGAGGCCAAGGTGCTGACTGGCTATTCTCGATGCGTTCTCGGCGTGTCTCGAGTAACTGCCGCACTTGAAGCTACCGTCTGGTTAGTCTGCTATGAATGAATGTATGCTTTCGCTCCAGTGACCGATTATCACTTAAGATCATCAGATGGCTCGGTGGTTTACATCCAAAGTTATCTGGGTGACCAAAATTAGGTATTAAATCTCGATGGTTAAGTATCCGTTCTATTTCAACAACCATCTTTTGGAGAATCTGATCACTGACGAGATGTTCCGCTAGCGTCACATAAGTACGCGTTTCATAGCATAAACGAGACGTTCCCAAACACCCCCGCGATAACTATTATAAGTTGGGTTAAATTCCTTGTTCAGTGACCCGCCTAACTTGTCCCATTCCATGAGCGAATCAATGTTTTTAGCCCGTTTTCGGCCTAATCAAATTCTAACTTATCACTAGAACCTCGAAAGTACACGACATCATGAAGCAAAATCGGGAGAACACGAACAGAGAAGAGTCTGTATCCATATCAGGGGTAACTGTGTAGGGAGGTGGAAGGCAGTGATTTCTCGGGGGACAAAATGACCATGAAAACGGGAATGGAGGGAAAAGGGAAAAGACGCAATGATGGAGAGCAGACGGAGCCACTCTGACCTGACGATACGAGACGAGAGCGAGTCACGAGCGACTTCCGGTAGTGGATCTGAGCCAGACAGAACAGAGAGGGTATTCGTAGAGAGAACGCAATAAAACAAACAATAGCGCCGTTGTTGTAGCCTCCCGGACCGACCCCACGCAGAGTGACGCGTCCACTTTCAAGCAAATTATGAGTCGTCAAACGACTCAGGTTGATCAGAATGGGACGCGTAGAAGAGGATCTACGGGAGTGAAATGAGCAGGGAATTTTCCACCATCAGGTTCCCAGAAGGCATAGACGTGTCGCGAGCAAAAGCCAGGAGAGACAATGTGTCGTGAGGAGGAAATGTGACTCATTCCTGTACCCCATCGTGAGGGGTGGTATAGCTTGTGTTCTCTCCAACAATGATTGTGCTCCATGGCCGCGTCGTTCTTGCTACAATTGCTAAACGTACTGCCCTCATTGTACGACAGGTAAATACGCAACCATAACGCTTTCCATTGTTTGTCTTTGCGTTACACGTATTGGTCCAATATAGTCAACGCCAGCAGCTGTAAATACCGGTTGAAATGCTAAACAACAGTCCTGAGTCAATGGGACTATTTGATATCCTGCAAGGCTGAACATTCCAAATCTTACAACACAAGAAACCTTTTAGCCTTCCAGACTGGTGGGACGCTACGTAAGATCCAATAGCGTTTGTAGTTCAGAAAGCAGGTAAGAAGTGCCAACATACCTACTGCTTTCGTGAACTTCCATGGTGGCGAGGCGTGCGACAAAAGGTCCGGTTGACAGTAGAACAAGATGCTTAAATTCGTAAGCATTAGCGACCAGTTCAATCTCCCACCTACTTGTAGAATATCATCATGCAAAAATGGATCAACTCAATTCAGTGGGCTGAGTGAAAGCTTAACGAGCTTACTATGTTCATTTGATTGGTTGAACTTCAGAACCTTAATCTCTTCTGTATAGCAGGTCCGTTGTACATTCCGTACTATTTCGCATTCGGCTTATTTCAGTTCGGGTAACGTTAAATGACCTGCGATCGAATTGTTTGGACGTTCTCCGTACTGTTGCATTAAACAGTGCTTAAATCTGAACAGGACGGCAACGCGCCATTTCAGCGTGCTGCAACTGACAAAATGTGAAAGCGATTCTAACCACGTCTTAGTCGATGATGCACAATAACCCAAACATGCTCCTTCTTCAGCCACTCCTCCGGCAAATCACTGAAAGATGCAGGAGGTTCTGGTCAGTAACAATAGTGGCAATGCAGGAAATCAGGCACATTGAGCCACATCTTCATTCGTCGTTCATCCCCGACACGAAATCCACGAGATCCTAGATCCGCTAGATGCTTTGCTGTCTTAACAAATCCCCAGTGTGTTGGATGAGAACACTGATGAATCTCAGAAATATGAAAAGCCCGGTAAGAAGACGAAAACTGGTAGATGCATGCATTTCGTATTGTCTCCTCAGTACCATTAACAATAACCGGTATGCAACTATATACTTAAATATGCGTGTGACCGAATAAGCATGAGTATATAGTTGCATCCCGGTTAATGTTAATGGTACTGAGGAGACAATATGAAATGCATGCATCTACCAGTTTTTGTCTTCTTACCGTGCTTTTCTAATTTCTGAAGTGAACTAACTGCTTTATATTTCTCAAACGATGAATCTCAGAATGTATATTTGTCACAAACATGGTGCACCATCTAGTCCTACGAGGTATGCATAGCAGTACAACCATTGAATCTGTCCAAACACTGGTTTTTCTTCTATTTGTAACTATTTGGACACTTGGTTGGTTAATCTAACATCAAAAGCAGCAGCTGCAAGCTCTAGCCGAGTTATTGCGGTCTTTTTTATTTGAGATACATGGGACTTCCTCATAAGGAGGGAGATACGGAACCGATTATCTAGACCGACGATCCTTGCGTATAATGCTGCTACCTACCTTACCTCGAAAGCATCTAAACAGTGAGGTAGCTCCATTGCACTGCTGACAAAAGGTTCGGGTAAAATGCCTCTCGAGAGTTTCAACCGTTCTAATGAAAGAGTATCACTTAAAAATCAGGGTCACTCATCCGTATTCGCTCGTTAAGCAGCTTGCCAAGTACCAGTCTTTTCCGGACGAATGACAGTAAGAGCTGCTCGGTTTTGAGCAATACCGAAGCAGCCATGCACGTTGGGTCGTAAATCGATGCAACGAACGAAAAA